TTTTTTAAATTGCAGAGTAGAAGGTCCCCTTAAATAATAAAATACGACAAATCTCAGTGTACGTGAGTAGTTGATCGCTGTAAAATCGATACTTCGAAATACAATGTTTAAAAACAGCTTTATTTCTTTGAATTCATTAAAACGCTGTTGTTGGTAGATGCTTAACGATCGAAACTTCTTAAAAATAAAACATTGAATCAGCTAGATAAGTATGAAAAAAATATAAAAATGTTTCAAAGTTAAAATACGAAGTGTACATAAGTATATATGGCCGCCACTGTATATGATATTGTACTATTGATAATTGCAATCGACTAATTGTAATAACTTACTGAATATCGTAGTATATAATTTTAGTGCTGTTAAACTTAAATATATTCCATAAAGGCTACTTATGTGAAAATAGAGAAAAATTATAACATTTTTCCATATAATATTCCATTTATATTTTGACTTGAATTCTTTTGACCTTTCCATATCCCTGCTTCCAATGAGAGTTTATTTATTCTGAAGGAAATAATATAATTAACGTATTAATCGAATTTTATTTTAAAATATTATATTATTTAATTATAATAAAATTAAAAAAAAAAAAAAATGTATCATAATAATCTCTTAATTTTAATAGGAAGATCCTCCGCATCGCAGTTTTCATCAAATATTCAGAGACAGAAATCAGTACATATGAAAGTTTGATGATGAATATCTTTTGAACATTTAATTTAATCGCCAAAACATAAGACACCATTTTTATAGAGCACTTAATTTCCTACAAAATTTGTGTAGAACATTTTTCTGTACAATCAATAAATAATGAGGTATGAGATTTATTTTATTGAACTGAGAAAAAAAATACAAAACTGCGATGAAGAGGATCTTCCTATTTAAAATGAAGAGCTCATATTTGGTGAGCATTTTTTTTTTTTTTTTTAAGGTGTCTAGCAACCCATTTTTCCGTGTCACTTGTAAAAAAAAGAATAATTGATTTTTTTTTACCCACCCTAGTGTTCATACTGATTTAACGAATATTCTTGAATTAATGTTACACTGATTTTTTCACTATAAAAAAATAGAACAAAAAAAACATTGAACGATTTTTACACGAAAGTAAAAGTCAACTTTTTACCTATTCAATTATGCACTTGTATTTTATATAAGCTAGACGACAAGAAAATGATTACAATCAGTAAAATAGCATTATTAAAAGATTAGTAAAACGTTTAGCTGTTGACGTATTTTTTTCTTTTTTTTATCTAAAATTACGACACTAATATTAACGTCGACTACGTATATAATAAAGGAATATGAAATATACTTTGAAATATGTAATTATGATTATAATCTATGAATAGATATCAATAATTATCAAATATATGTCCTGTAAACGCAAAGCGTTTCATTAGACGAACAAATTCTACTGATTCATCGTTATTACACTTTTTACAATGTTGAAGAAAAAAATAAACAGCCTACGTATTTTCAACACAAAATAATAAGAACGCGATAACGCTAAATTAGCAGTTAAACTTAAAGCACATCTTATCATTTTTGAAAGATATCATTTTCTTTTCAAATGAACTTCAATGATTATCTTTTGTTTTGCATTTTCATTTTCACCCAACGATCACTAATATCCTTATTAAAACTAGGTTTACGGGAGTTTCTTATATACCTTGTGACGGGTGGATGAAAATTCGTATTTACTTTAAGAAAAAATCAATTTATTCACACTAAGTCTAAAATGAACAATATAAGGCTTCACGTAAAAATAAAATATTAATAAGTTAAAATCTTTTTTTTTTTTTTTTAAGTTATCATGGAAATGATAACAATAATATAAACGCTACAGGGGGTAACCATTTTTATCGAGCACATTTTTTTACATATGTATTGAATTTCGTTCGTGCATTTTCCGCATATGTTTTTTCTTTTGCAATACATACAGCAATTACTGCTTTTATTTTTATTTTAGTAGTCCACTTGGCAACTTTTTCGGACTCCTGATGTGTTGAAGGTTACAGAACTGAAACGTTTGAACTTTGACGAACGTTCTCCTTGTTTTCTCCAGCTAATTCATCAGTTAAAGAAAATATAAACTCCTTTCTGGATATTTTCGATCAGGTACACTCTTTATACAATATCCACGCATTTATCGCTGCCAAATCTAAAATATTATAAAAAAAAAAACTCGTCCTCTCTTCCTCGGTGTCAGAACAAGAAATAATTCGCTTCCTTTTCTTGTTACGACACATATTGAAGAAGTTTTCCTCTTCATTATCCAAAGATCCTTCTATTTCTCTAGTTTCAGTGGATTCAGAATATTCACTGTAATCATCACTTTCACCTAATTCATATTGATCTTCTTCGGAGGTACCCTCAGAACAATCCTCATTGATGTTGGTAATGTTGGTCAATTTCTTATTATATCTCCTGTTTCTACTCATGATTGCTAGAAAAGGGTGATCGGTGAGAGTAAAAAATACTGTGCCCAAATTCAATTATCCTATTGTAAATACTTACAATAAGCGGAGACTACAATAACCAAAACTTTTGCACACTGTCTTTGAAAAATGTTCTTACCACTGTCACTGCAGCAACTATGTATACTGAAGACCGGCTCGTGCCTTAGAGATGTCTTCGAAGATCGTTACAAACCGATACTTGCGGCATACGAAACTCAAAGCAAATCGCAGCCTAACGTCGGCGATCGTTGGCTGTGAAAATTGCTTGTGTGTGTGTGTGTGTGTTATGTTTGCACCAACACATGAACCGAATGTCTTTTCAATACGAAATTTAGTCTACTGCATGCTTTGAATTTCGAATAACGCGAGGATCACTCTGGTAAGCGATTTCATTCAACGCAAAGTAACATGACACCCGGGCCACACAATTCGCTTTATGTCACTTATCAAGGCCGCTATGGAGATAATGAGTTGGGGGCATCTTAGACGTTGTTTCTTTCACTCTTATATTTACTATTGGAGAAATAATTTTACAAACGAAGCAAATATATAAGGATTGTTTACGTAATCCTCAGCTAACCCGTCAATTTGACGAGTTTCGTAGAGATTGGTATATCACATACAAATTTCAAAATTTATAAGGCTTAAGAAAATAATAATTGTGTGTATAAACTCTTTTAATGAAATTATAAATTTACGATGCAAAGTAGTTAAGATTAATGCTATGGTTTTTTGCGTGTTTCATTTCAAAGATTGTAATCCGTCAAATTGACGGGTCCCGTAAACCTAGCGTTAACGAAGAACTTAAGGAAAGAACTCAATCTAGGCAATTCATGTTTTTATTCGGTTAACAAATTACTCAGCTCGCGGTTGCTGTCTAGACGATTAAAAATCAGGATATACAGGACAATCATCCTGCCGGTGGTAGTCCTTTATGGTAGCGAATCGTGTGATCACTTACGTTACGGGACGACAAGAAATGTAGGGTTTTCGAAAACAAAGTTATTCGTAAAATCTTCGGTGCAAAACACGATGAGGAAACGGACGAATGGAGAAAACACCATAACGTTGAAGTACATCGATTGTACAACAAACCGGACATTATTAAGTTTGTAAAATCACGCCGATTAAGGTGGGCTGGTCATGTGGAGTGGTGCATGGGGGAGGAGCAAACGACGCACAAAATATTGGTCTGCATACCAAACGGGAAAAGACCACTAGGTAGACCGAGACGTAGATGGAAGGATAATATTAGAAGAGACCTGAAAAAAATAAGGTACGAAGACCGCAAATGAAAAGATCGCATTCAGGGACGGGGGAACAATGGCGGGATTTGATATTTGCAGCAATGAACTTTCGAGTTCCTAATGCCAGTTAGTAATAATAATAATAATAATAACTCAATAACTTGTATTATTATCTGGTAATAATATTTAAGGTAACAAATCCTAGTTATTCTTGGAAACGTAAATGATAACTGCAAAGATTTTTTTTTTGTGTTTTTTTTTTTGTTTGTTTGTTTGTTTATATATGTATTTACACAGTTATTATTATTTAGCCGCTTATTATTATACAATTCTATCGAAATTTTATTTCATTCATGAACGCCTTGTTTTCCTATTAATATATAATTATAGTAATAATAACAATATAATTAATTAATTAATTAATAATAATAATAATAATAATAATAGTAGTAGTAATTATAATACCTTCGTACAACTCATGCTTTCAAATCAGATTCTCACCACCTCATTTAATTAATTTATTCATTTACTTTTATATATATATATATATAGTTCTTAGTTTTATATATAAGAGAAGATACTTCGTTTTTCTATTTATTTATTTTTTTGTTTTTTTTTTTTCATTTTTTTTTTCTCTTCTTCCTTCCCTTTTCCAAAACCTTCGTTCTTCGATTTGTCGAATTAACGAAAAATCATTTGAATAGAAAAAAATATAATGAATCAATAGTATGATTGACTTGAAACATTGTATTGGATGATAAATGAAACATTTAAATTATTCAATCAATACATACAAAGATTTATAAGGATCATTTAACATATATATATATAGTGTCCTGCGATGAGTAGGACAACAAAAAGAAAATGAATGAATGAATGAATGAATGAATAATACAACCATAAGAGGGAGGAGGGAGAAAGGGGGGGATGATGACGACACATACAAAACTGTGCGAAAGCTTTTCTTTTTTTTTTTTTTTTTTTCAAAAAAAAAAAATCATTAATACAAAGAAAAAGAAAAATACTGCGTTGACTGTTTGTCGCTTGTTGTAAAAGTTAAAATAAAATAAAAACCAAAAATTCAAATAAAATAAAATAAAAAAGAAAAATAAAAATAAAAATTAAGGAATTGTAAAAAAGGAACATACGAAGCGTATCCTATAATACAATTCATTTCAATTTCTCCTATTTATAACACCACACACCACATCACATTCATCAAACATCCACACACACACACATAACACACATCATACTTATTATATGGTATTTCAAAAAATGAAATACATCACATCATATTGGGAATAAAAAGTTATATTGTGTGATATTAATGGAGGAGGGATGTATTTTATGTATGTATGTTTGTATGTATGTATGTATGTATGTATATTTCTATATATGTAATGCTATTATGAGATTGCTTGAACACAACAATAACTCTCTTCTTGTTTTTTTTTTCTTTTTATCTCATATACCATTGTTGTGTGTGTACCACCAATTACCACCAACTACCACCCCCATTTTCTGATCACAGAGTTATTATTATATATATATATATATGTAGATATAGGATTTACTATAACACTTGTTTTTCTTTCTCTGTGATGTTGAAAACTCGAAAAACCATTCATCATCATCTTTATCATCATCATCATCATTATCATGTGATTGAAGAAGAACTATAGATATTATCTATGACTTATGTGATTTTATCGGTACAAAATATTATCATTGATTGATTGATAGATAGTTAGACAGATAATATGAGAAAAGAATATTTTGTTAGGAATTTAATTATTGATGGAAATGATATTAATAAAATTAAAATTAAAATTAAAATTAAAAAAAAAATAGAAAGAGAGAGATAGAGATAGAGAAAGATAGAGATAGAGAGAGAAAGAAAGAAAGAAAGAATGAGACAGTGAAGAGCAACAACAAGTTGTACAACTCAATAATATAATAATAATCTTATAATATGATTTCTAATAAACGTAAAAATAATAATAGTAATAATATATTCAAAGTCGACCAATCACTTCTCATTTTTGCATTGTTTCAATGAAGCCGCCACGTGGTCCGGTTTTTCTCCTCTTGCAAAACGTTCCCACATTAATGTATACAACATTTCCATACCATGGGCGTATGCTCGACAATCGAATAATGGACTTTCTGAACGTGCCTGCCATACTTTTGCTCGTGTTGCTTTCAAGCTAAAAAAAAAAAAATACAAATATAATATTATTATTTTTTTTATAATATTTTGTAACAAAAGATAAATATAATAAATATATATTGTTGTTTATTATTTATGATCAAAAGTTACTAGATAATTTAAAATATTAATTACTAATAATAATTATTGTTTTTTTTTTTATACATTAATCTTTTTCTAGAAATTTTGTCATAGTAACTATATTATTATTATTATTATTATTATTATTATTATTATTATTATTATTATTATTATTTATGGTCAAAATTTACTAAATAGAATTTAAATATTAATTACTATTTCTTTTGTTTATATTAATTAAGACATGACAAAGAACGTGT